GGCTCATGTTCCCACAGCATTTCTTGTTCTCACAAACTTCCACTCATGTTTCTATAACTCAATAGAAACACAGTACATGTTTTCTATTTCTTAAACATCAGTTAGTTTATAATCAGGTGCAAATGTTGCCTATAAAGTATCATTCAGTGCATGTACATGTACAAGTTACGATAGGGTGGAAAGTCAGTTATATTTATTCAACAGGGTCTCAGAAGCCTCTAGTCGTCCACGAACTGAGCGTCGATCTGTAAAGAACCATCATGATGAGAATGATAGTGATGAAGAAGAATCCAGGTCTTCGTACAGCTTTTCTCCTACACCTGAACCTGTCCCATCAGCACCACCACAAGAATCCAATGAGTCAGACTCCTATTACTCAGGGCCCTTTAAAGCAATGTATGACTTTGAGTCAGGTAAAGCAAGTAGGAAGGAAAAAATACATGTACCATTTAAGTACAGGGCTTTCATTAACATTTTCAGCAGGAGGGCAACTGGTTTTCACATGCAGCAAAACTTTTCAAACTGGACTTCTTTGTTAGAAAAGCATCCCTTTAGATGGTCAAACCAGGCGGGCAAACCATCCTCGCAGCCGTCAGTTTGCTTGGTGTCCAGCCTTAAATGAGACCCCTGAGTATATTATGCTGAGTATAGTATAGTATACTGTGAGCACTGTTTTTGCTGATCTCTCTCCACTATGCACGCAGTCGTTGCAGTATGCAGCTTTCATCTAGTGTTTAGAAATTCAAGCTTGAAACGTAACATGAGTACCTGGCCCTCAGTTTAACCATGTACAACAGAATCAGTGATCTGAACCAACAAGATTGATTTACACTGCAGACATTGTACAGTGAATTTAGATGGAATTAAAGTCAAATAAGACTCCTCTCCTGCCTGTGGTGGTAGTGGGCAAGTGAAACCTTTAGCTATTATCGACTTGAAGCAAAAGATAAAATTAATTTAACCAATGTCATGACTCAGTCTGTTAAGCTAACTTTGATTGTTGGCCCTTTGCGGTGGTTGTGTGTGTGTGAGGAAACATGGTAACAGAAAATAGATGAACAAATTAGGCATTGTTTTAAACCTTCCATGTACCTGTCTGAGTCCTACTAACATCTGGGTGTCTGATCTTGCTTCTTTCCAGAAAATGATCAAGAACTTGATTTCAGTGAAGGAGATATAATTCAAGTGGAGGAGAAAATAGATGAAAACTGGCTCACTGGCACTTGCAATGGCAAAACTGGAATGTTCCCTACTAATTATGTAGAAAAAATGTAATTTGAATGAAAAAAATGATAATTAGGTTTTCAGTGGCAGTGGGTTATGAATGTGGAAGTTTTAAAATGCAACAGAGCAGAGATGTAGCTAAGAGCTGGTTAATAGCATACATGTAGCTCACCAGCTGAAACATGGCACATAACCAGCTGATCTAGCTGCTGCTCAGGGCATTCTTAACTACATCTCTGCTGACAGACTTTTGTTATATTCCATTTGTTATATTCCATTGTCTGAGGATAATTATTGAAACAGGAATTAATTATGCATAACTGTACAGCCGCATAAGACAAATATGGCACCTTCACGTGGAATAATGTGTTCAATTAGATTATAATATAAAACCCTTTTAAAAATGCTTATGTTAACCTATACAGTGACTGTGCCAGCATGTGAAAGCTTATTAATACTAGATGTAAAGCTTTATCAAAGCACATATTAACAAGCTTACCAATGATCAGACTTGTTTCCATGGTGACAGAAGAGAGCATTAAATGATAGCCTTGTACATTCATTTTAGTTTGAATTGCTGTAAAAAAG